GCTAGTAGGAGCGGACTAGTTGGGTGGCCTGCATTTTCACATGGAAGTCCTCACTTTGGAAGGAAACTGGGTAGTGGCAGTTAATCTGGGAAGCCAATTAAAAGGAGAGCTGCTAAAAACATTTCCACCGTTCTCAGAAACTGCAACCACTACTGTTACCAGTGCCCCACTGTTAACTCAAACCTTCCATGTCCACTAATCCACAAACTCCTCAAATGTAGGAAAGGTTTCTTATGTGTCTCCTTATCTTCAGGACAATCAGTGCCTGGCACAGAATAAAGGGAGACTTGGAGGAATGTTTTAACATTAAGTCAGAACAACCCTAAAGCCCTCAGGCCCTGTGCTAGCTCACTCTCCCCTACTATCTCACGGGTTTTTGCTTTGTTTTGTTCCTTTCTTTCTTTAGAAAGCTTTAGAATCCTGCCCTTGATTCAGCCTTTCTCTTTCTCTTTGATCTGTCTTAAAGTCTTACAACATCTTCTTACGGTTCTCAAATTGGCACTCTCCTACTCTTTCCTCTGACCTTCCTTCTCTGACCCTCCCCTGCTCCCAGGCTCCCATAGAAAGTAGGGGCACTTGTCAATCATATCACAGAGTGTAGCTGTCACCAGGACCTTTCTGGAGGTCAGAGGCCCTGCCCTTGTCATTTCTTCACTTTCCAAAGCCTGGTGCTGACCCCTGGCATGTGTCTCCTGCTTCCTGTTTTCAAGGCAAGGACCAGGTCTGGTCAGCTCTGGACATATGCTTGGGGACTGCAGGAAGGGCTGGCTCTTCAGGGCACATGCAGATGACGTGTGTCTCTCTTGGACAAGGCAAACTTCTCCCTCTTGTTCTGACGCTCATCTTGGCAAAGACAGGGGCAGCAACCCCTCAGATGGATAGAACATTGTGGTCAAAGCACAGTCCGACCTTAGTCATCATGTCTACTTCCAGGAAGGTCAGCCAGGACAGGGCGGGTACATTTCAATCTAAGAAGCATTCCTTTGCAGTGAGAGTTAAGATTTGCCAGAACTGTGTGCAACTTGTCTAATTGGGTTTATGGGGCACAGACCCTAAACTCCTGTGAGGCCTTTCAGCAAACTTTAAATTGCTTCTGGGATTCAAGCTGGCCCCTGAACAACTGGAGCTCTAAGTTGCTCCATGACTCCTTGATAGAAGCTCAGGAGAGCAGAGTGAGAGGGTGAGTGGCACAGAACAGCGGATATCTACCCTGAGTGCATAGATTGGTAATGACCACCATGACTAGCTGGCACACTGCTTGAATTTTCCTTTTTATCTCACTGGGCATGGGGAAGATCAAGAAAATGAACAGCTAGACTCCTTCTATCTAGGGCTGACACAAAATTTCTTTCACCTGGCTGTGAAAATGGATCAGAATGTTTAGTTCCAAGATAATTAAACCAGATTTTCTAGGCCCTTCCAGGCAGTTCTAACAGATAGGGCTAGACCAGGGATAGTCAGTGTGGGCACTTGAAGCAATTACTTTCCAAGCCCTGAGACCTTCCAGCATTTTCTCTACCATGAGTCCTTCTGTCTGGGTGAGCTCCTGTCCCCACCATGGACTTATCCCCATGCTGAACTTGGACTGGGTTCTCTCTGTGGCCAAACATTCTTCAGGTAGGTGGTGAAAGGCAATAGGTGGTTATGAGTGACTCTTGGGCACTGCTTCCACGTCTCTGGAGGTCTTTTACTGGGGAAAGAGAGTGTCTAGGCCAGTATGGGGTTGGGGCAGAGTGGACAGCGGTGGGGATGACAATAGAAGAAGGAAATTTCTGCTCGGCGGGAGGGGAACCTTTCTAACAATCAAGGCTGTCCATAGGATGGAAAAGCAGAAGATTCACACACCTCAACATGTTCAAAGCAAAGACAGGAGGATTGTGCTTCTTGGAAGGAATTCATTCAATGAAAGGGGAAGAGGTAGGACCAGTTACTTTACACCATCCTCACCAAGTCTTAGATTCTCTACTTAGTAGTTTTAGTATCTCTAAAAATGCATTTTCTCCCCAATTATGTCCAATGCCCAGAGGGAAACTATGCCAAGTGCATAACGATAGTTCCAGTGATGCCGAGTTTCTCCCATCTAATCTTCCCCAACCACAGAAAGTGTGACAGTCACAGACAGACTGTGTGGTGCTCAGGGACACCACCCACCCCCACCCAAGCCCTGCCTCAAGGCAGGTACCTTAGAGGAAGGTGTGAGACTTCAATTTTTCTGGAGTGTCCCAGGGAGAGTATGGATGACCAAGACTTCATATTTCACCCTTTCCTATTCAGCAGACCTGCTGTGGCACAAATGGAGAAGCAAGAATATAATCAGCGTGGTAAGGGAAGAAGGACCCCTGGGCAGGCATTGGGTGGGGTGTTAAGGACCCATCTGGCCCCATTCGTGGCCTTCTCTGAGTGTGTTTTCTCATCTTTAACATGAGAGTCAATCATTCAGGTTTTCTCTGGTTTTCTGGCTCTGTAGGTCTGCAAGGACCAAAAAGCACATTCTATATGCAGTGCCTCCTTTGATTCACCCCTCTGTGGGCTGGGCAGAACTGTCTGCTTTTCAGTGGAGAAAACATTATGGTGGCTTTGGGAACCAGCAGTTAGCGTAATGGCTATGTCGCTGGACTCCCACGTAGTCGACCGCGGTTCGTGTCCCGGACCCGGTGGCTTAAAACTCACGCCGGGCGCGTGTGCGTGCGTGCCCAAGATCCCGAGAGGAGAATGGAGGAGAAGGGATTGCGGCGTGACCATCCCCCCTGGGGGGTGATTTCTCGCTTTCTGTCTCTATGTCTCTCTCTGTCTGTCTGGCGAGCGTACGCGCCCTACAGTGAAAATCTCTCCAAAAAAAAAAAAAAAAAACATTATGGTGACTTTCATGGTCAACTCAGATAGAGAAAGGACTGATTCAGGAGCTGTGACTTGTATGATAGCTCCATAAGCACAGATTCCAATCACAAGGTCACAGATACTCATGCTGGAGGCATAGGGGACACTCATTCTTGGAATATGCTCCTGCTCCTTCAGGAGTTTGGAGCAGACAGGAGAAGCTGCAATACTATAGGCAAAGGCTGCGGTTGGAGAGGAAGTAGGGTCTGTTAGTCTTCTGTTAGGGTCCCCATGGTCTACTGTGCAGAAACGCCCTGCTGACAGTGCAACCCAGGGGTTACCAACCATACTTATAAGTAATGAAATATAAACCGGGCATCAAGTGACTATCTAGATAGATTCTCCTGGTCTCTACTTATCACATTCTCTCTACGTAGGACTCCATATGGAGCTGAATTATCATCAGAATATTATGCTCGGAATTGGAACCTGGGGAGTGAGTGAGAGGATGTCAGCAGTCAGCATTACTGAGAATGACAGCCAAGCCTGTAAGGACACTATAGGAACAATTCAGAGACGGGCAAGGAGAGCCAGAGGAGCCACTTCCCTGATCAGTGCTGGAATTGTGTAGTTTATCTTCAAGGTTCCTTTTTTTTTTAAAAAAAAATCATCTTCACAGAGTCTCATCCCTACATGTCCCTTCCTTCAAGTGCATTGACACTGTTAATCTGACAATTTTTTTATATACTCATATACAGTTGAATTAGATTTCTAGGGTCTGCTATTCTTGATTTTGACCTGACAGAACCTGCTTTTCAAGGTAATTTCTATAAACAGTGAATTTTATCCCTTAGAGGCTATTACAATTTAACACTCAAAAGGGGAAATTTAATAATACATTCTGGAAGCATCTCATTGTAATCATCACATTCTGATCCCAATATGTGTTTGTTGTCCTCAGTTTTCCTGAGGGTGGGAGAGAGAATTAAAAATGGAAGTGGCCAATCAATCCATCGGAGCAGAATTTGTCTTACTGGGACTGTCAGATCACCCAAAGCTTGAGAAAACATTCTTTGTGCTCATTCTGCTGATGTATCTGGTGATCCTGATGGGAAATCCCCCCTGGGGGGTGATTTCTCGCTTTCTGTCTCTATGTCTCTCTCTGTCTGTCTGGCGAGCGTACGCGCCCTACAGTGAAAATCTCTCCAAAAAAAAAAAAAAAAAACATTATGGTGACTTTCATGGTCAACTCAGATAGAGAAAGGACTGATTCAGGAGCTGTGACTTGTATGATAGCTCCATAAGCACAGATTCCAATCACAAGGTCACAGATACTCATGCTGGAGGCATAGGGGACACTCATTCTTGGAATATGCTCCTGCTCCTTCAGGAGTTTGGAGCAGACAGGAGAAGCTGCAATACTATAGGCAAAGGCTGCGGTTGGAGAGGAAGTAGGGTCTGTTAGTCTTCTGTTAGGGTCCCCATGGTCTACTGTGCAGAAACGCCCTGCTGACAGTGCAACCCAGGGGTTACCAACCATACTTATAAGTAATGAAATATAAACCGGGCATCAAGTGACTATCTAGATAGATTCTCCTGGTCTCTACTTATCACATTCTCTCTACGTAGGACTCCATATGGAGCTGAATTATCATCAGAATATTATGCTCGGAATTGGAACCTGGGGAGTGAGTGAGAGGATGTCAGCAGTCAGCATTACTGAGAATGACAGCCAAGCCTGTAAGGACACTATAGGAACAATTCAGAGACGGGCAAGGAGAGCCAGAGGAGCCACTTCCCTGATCAGTGCTGGAATTGTGTAGTTTATCTTCAAGGGTTCCTTTTTTTTTAAAAAAAAATCATCTTCACAGAGTCTCATCCCTACATGTCCCTTCCTTCAAGTGCATTGACACTGTTAATCTGACAATTTTTTTATATACTCATATACAGTTGAATTAGATTTCTAGGGTCTGCTATTCTTGATTTTGACCTGACAGAACCTGCTTTTCAAGGTAATTTCTATAAACAGTGAATTTTATCCCTTAGAGGCTATTACAATTTAACACTCAAAAGGGGAAATTTAATAATACATTCTGGAAGCATCTCATTGTAATCATCACATTCTGATCCCAATATGTGTTTGTTGTCCTCAGTTTTCCTGAGGGTGGGAGAGAGAATTAAAAATGGAAGTGGCCAATCAATCCATCGGAGCAGAATTTGTCTTACTGGGACTGTCAGATCACCCAAAGCTTGAGAAAACATTCTTTGTGCTCATTCTGCTGATGTATCTGGTGATCCTGATGGGAAATGGGGTTCTTATTCTGGTGACCATCCTTGACTCTCATCTGCACACACCCATGTACTTCTTCCTGGGGAACCTTTCCTTCTTAGACATTTGCTACACAACCTCTTCCATTCCTCTAGTTTTGGATGGCTTCCTCACTCCTAGGAAGACCATCTCTTTCCCAGGCTGTGCTGTGCAAATGGCACTCTCCTTTGCCATGGGAGCCACAGAGTGTGTGCTCCTGGGCATGATGGCATTTGATCGGTACGTGGCCATCTGCAATCCCCTTAGGTACCCTGTGGTCATGAGCAAGGCTGCATATGTGCCCATGGCCATCAGCTCCTGGGTGGCTGGTGGAGCCAACTCCTTGGTGCAGATCTCTCTTGCAGTACAACTGCCCTTCTGTGGGGACAACGTCATCAACCACTTCACTTGTGAGATCCTGGCAGTTCTGAAGTTGGCCTGTGCTGACATCTCCATCAATGTGATCAGCATGGGGGTGGCCAATGTGATCTTCCTGGGGGTTCCAGTTCTGTTCATCTTTATCTCCTACATCTTCATACTCACCACTATCTTGAGGATCCCCTCAGCTGAGGGGAGGAAAAAGGCCTTTTCTACTTGCTCTGCACACCTCACTGTGGTGATCATCTTCTACGGGACTATTCTTTTCATGTATGCAAAGCCCAAATCAAAGGACCCTCTGGGGGCAGACAAGCAGGATGTTTCAGACAAGCTTATCTCACTCTTTTATGGAGTGTTGACCCCCATGCTAAACCCCATCATCTACAGCCTCAGAAACAAGGACGTGAAGGTTGCTGTGAAGAACCTGGTGAATCAGAAATGCTTCACAAAGTGATAATGAGAGGAACCAGTGTTTCTTATGGTTCTGTGCATGCAAAAGGCCCCCTGGACCATGAGGAAAACTGAGGCTTGTTTACTAGTCCTACACTATAGCTTCCAGACAGATGTGCACGAAGATGGAATTTCTTGGGTAATGAGATTGGAATATCTGCTTTTAGAATAAAAAGCATATTTTTACTAAAAGAACCCAGGTTAAGTGACTATTTTTTAAAAATTAAATCTTTTATTCTGAAAGAAAAAGCACTAAAAAGGAAACCTTTGTAAAGACATTCATCCTTTTCTGTTCAAGTGCAGACCTGTTTCAATTTGTATGTGCCAATTATGTTTTTTGTTCTACTGAGTGATGGGAACAGGGAGGGAGGAAAAGTCACTTCTTCATGATGTCCAAACTAACAACCCATCTGCCATTTTGGAAAATTACTGGCACCAGGGCACATTCTGAATGACACCATTTAATTCCTCTTTGGCTATAGGAACTCAGAGTGCTTTAATTATTTCTCGCTTAATATTGTAGAGATCATTTTTGGTTTGTCTATTCCTACCCAAATCTGCTGAGAGGTTTATGTAAATAACATCCGGACTCCAGATAATATAAGGCAGGAAGAGAATGTCACAGTCTGCGTTTAGGTAAATCGTTAGTCCAACACATAATTTACACTCGGAGTCTCTTTGTTTCCCTATAATTAATGTTTGCTGCCATATAGATTCCAGGGGTCAAATTCAGTTCTCTCTGTCTCTTCAAGATCTTAGATTGGATATTGGCAATAGTTATTCAAATCTACTTATAATAACCCTGTGGTTAAGAGTGTGGATTTTGGAACCAGACTAATATGGAATATCTTTGCCTGTGTAACTTCAGGCATGTTAGAAAACTCAATCTTACAGATTCTGGGTTTCTTATATGTAAAATGGAATAATTGGAGCTGTTGTTAGCATTAGTACATTAGAAAAAAAAAAGGCAACATGGCTAGAAAAGAGTAACCTCCCAATTAAGAGATGAACATTTTATTATTAATGAAATATGTTAAATACCTCCTCTAAGGAAGCCTTATCGTATTTGAAGGCAGATCAATACCGCACTTAAGTGAATCGGTTCAGATTTGTTGCAGCACCTTTTGGAGTGGCTTTCTAGCTTATGAGCCAATAGTCTTGTTTCTCTGGGCATTTTCCCCAGCCATCACTCTTCTCCATCTGCAGGCTGAGTCACTCCCATTTGTGCTGGGTAACATTGACCCTGTCTTCACCAATCAGATCTTTTCTGTTAGATTTTGTGAATTGCCATTAGTACCCAGAGAGTAAGTTATTGGATCCATAACATGCAAACTCAGGAGGTAAAGGGAAACCAAGTTTGCAAAGAAAAAAGAAAGAGTAGTGAGAGAGAGGGGGGAGAAAGATGAAGATGGCACCCTCATTTGTTCAGATTTCTTCATTTTATTATTATTTTTTAAGGCCTGGCCACATTCACATTCCTAAACCTTTGCTTCTAAAGGACATGTCATATCTTTATACTAGATTCTATTATTCATCAATCTAGATCAACTTCCTTTCTTAGGGGTGGGACACGAAAATTACATTTAATATCAGTACTAATTTACATAAAATAGATATCTTCTTTCACGTTTATGTGCAAACAGTGTGCCAGGCTGTCATACATGGTATGTCTGATACCATACATAGTTTGGAGATATTAGTTTTGAAACAATTATTCTGAGCTCAGTATGTAGTGCTTCTTGTAATTGATGATTCTTGTTAAGCTTTGCCCTGTGCGTATGCTATCATCTATAACTTTGGAATATGCCAATATTCAGGAAGACTATGTTCAAATCTTACCCTCTCAACATAGAACTGTGTGACTATGAATGTGTATTAAGAGTGCTAGTTTCTGGGAACCAGCAGTTAGCGTAATGGCTATGTCGCTGGACTCCCACGTAGTCGACCGCGGTTCGCGTCCTGGACCCGGTGGCTTAAATCTCACGCCGGGCGCGTGTGCGTGCGTGCCCAAGATCCCGAGAGGAGAATGGAGGAGAAGGGATTGCGGCATGACCATCCCCCCTGGGGGGTGATTTCTCGCTTTCTGTCTCTATGTCTCTCTCTGTCTGTCTGGCGAGCGCACGCGCCCTATAGTGAAAACCTCTCAAAAAAAAAAAAAAAAAAAAGAGTGCTAGTTTCCAGAAGCATTTTCATCTGAGATAGTAGTAGATATTTCACTTCATTCCCACCTGTGAATTTCCCTAGTTTTGTGGCTCCTTTCCTTAATGGGAGAATCCCTTGAAGAGAACAAGGCAATCCTCCATTTTTTTTTCTTTTGGTAGAGGTTTTTGCCTTAGGGCATGTGTCCTCATGAGAGAGAGAGAGACAGAGACAGAGACAGTGAGAGGGAAAGTGAGAAATTGCCCCCAAGGGAAAATGGCTATGCCACAATACCTTCTCCATTCTCCTCCCAGGATCTTGTGAACACACGCACAATGCCCGGTATGAGTTTCAAACCACTTGGTCCAGGACTCGAACCACGGTTGGCCATGTAGAAGTCCAGTAATGGACCACTATGCAATCTGCTGGCTCTGACAACATTCTCTTTACAGCAGTATTTCAGTACGTGAAGCTGAGACTGGTTTCTCCCACCTCCTTAGCTATGTGCTAGGCATTTCTTTAGAGTCCCTATCTTCTCCACTAAGCTCAACGATCAAACAGAATGACTCAGCCAGGTGATGTCATCCAATATCTATCACTGAGACAATGAGCAGAGCAGCCATGGTTGCAGGAGACTCTATGGACTAGAGAGTAGGGGTTTCGTTCACAAAGTCCGATACAGCTCTTCATTATCTAAACATCTAAACTGCCAGCAGGAGTCTAACCCTCATTTGAAGAGACCAGTTGTGGCAAGTTGATTGTATTAAATCATTTCCATTCTGAAAATTGCAGTGATACACCTTGACTGAAACCAATGCTTTTCTGGAATATGGGTTGCCTTTTCTTTCTGCTGGGCATTAGCTACCACCACCTGGAAGTTTACAGGGTTTGATCTATTAATGGGGATTCTACATTTATCACATCAGATCAAGGGACTCACTAAGCAGGAATAACTGTAGCTCATGATGATGGGATTCACTGATCCGTCCATTCACTGCACCATCCAAAAGTAACTGCCCCCGGAGTGACATAATGGCCTTTTGAAAGTACAACTAAAGCACCAGCTTAGAGATAATATGTTGTAAGAATGAAGAACTTTCCTCCAGAATGCTGCACCTACCCGAAATCAATGACCATTTTATGGTATTGTGGTTCTAAAAGATAAAATGTATAGGTGCAAATGAGACAGCAAGAGTAACCGAAGATGTTGTCCTGTGTTTTTGCTACCTTGCTTGCCATCACCTCCAGTGACCTAGCTGGGGAATTTGTACTTCTTATTCCTACAACTCTAAGCTTCATAGAAGAGTCCTGTTTCCCAAAGAAATTCTGATTTCATCACAGGACAGAGAAAGAGTCTTATTAAACATTTGTAGTCCTTTGCTGAGGTACAACTTACATCCCATAAAATTCACCCATTCTAAGGTTAATGATTATTAGTAAAATTAAACAATTGTGCAGTCATCACCACTAACTCATTGTAGAACTTTCATATTACTTCACAAAGCTCCCTCATGCTCACTTACAGTCCATCTCCACCCTCAGCCCTAGGAAACTACTAGTTTACTAATTTCTAGAAAGATTTTTTTTCTTTTTCTCTTCCTTCCTTCCTTCCTTTCTTTCTTTCTTTCTTTCTCTCTCTCTCTCTCTCTCTCTCTCTCTCTCTCTCTCTCTCTCTCTCTCTCTCTCTCTCTCTCTCTCTCTCTCTCTCTCTCTCTCTCTCTCTCTCTCTCTCTCTCTCTCTCTCTCTCTCTCTCTCTCTCTCTCTCTCTCTCTCTCTCTCTCTCTCTCTCTCTCTCTCTCTCTCTCTCTCTCTCTCTCTCTCTCTCTCTCTCTCTCTCTCTCTCTCTCTCTCTCTCTCTCTTTCTTTCTTTCTTTTTCTTTAGAAATTTTAGATAAATAGAATTATACAGTATGTATGGTTTCTTTCACCTGACATGATGTTTTTGAGGATCATTCAGTGGTAACATGTATCAGTAGGTTTTTTTTTTTTTTAATTGTGAAGTAATATTTCATTGTGTCTACCTGTTCACCCATTGATGGACTTTTGGATTGTTCTCAGTCTGGGCAATTATGACCGATGTTGAATGACCACAACTTTTATGGAAGTGATGACATATTATACGAATGTTTTTAACTCTAAGAAACTGCTACATGATTCTAAAGTAGCTATATCATTTTAAACCATTTTACATTCCCACAAGCTACGTATGACAAGTTCTCTACATCCTCTACAACACTTGGTGTCATTTTTAAAATTTTTTAAAAATTTACCAGAGGGCGTGAGAGAGACAGAGAGAGAGGGGGAGAGAGAAAATGAGAAAGCAACCCCCCATGAGACATGGTCATACCATAGTTCCCTCTTCTCCATCCCTCTCCCCTTTTTGGGATTTTAGGCACACATGCACACACACTGGGTGTATCTCTAAGCTGCCAGGTCTGGGAGTTGAACCAGAAGGTCAGCCATGCAGGATTCATCCACCTTAACCACCAGGCTATGGCCAGCTCTCATTAGTGTTTTGATAGAGCTCTCCTAGTGGTCTGACATTAGCCTGATGGGATAGCCCTTGAAAGTAACTTGATGTTTCTTTCTTGCCAATTTTAGTATCTTGTCTCAGTCTGTGGTTTTGGTCAATCTGGGTATGATGAGCCTCGGGGAAGATCTTCTTGAGTTGATTCTAGGTGGGGCCCTTCATAGTTCTTGGGTCTGGATATTTGAGTGCCTCTCTAGGTTTGGTATGTTTTCTTCCAGGATTTCATGGAATAGATTATCTTTACCTTTGGAGATACCTGATGTTTGGGCATTTAATGGTATTTAGTATAACTCGCACGTTATTCTCATTTTTTTGGATTCTTTTCTGTCTTTTT